TAATGTTTCATATGAATGCACACTGTTTTATTTATTCACTTCTCTCTACATGGCAGTCTAAAGGTGAACACCACATTCATAGATCAGTTACTATACAAACCTACTGGTAGATCAGAAAAAAGATTGTAACTGATCAGCCACACTCTGCCAGGAATATTCTAATGAGGATGGACCACGGCCCAAGTCTGATGCTAGGAAGGAAGAAGGTCTGTATCATACATAGTCTGCTGGGTTTCTCTACCCTGGCACTAGTGACATTTTGCCCACCTGTCCCACAGGTGTTAGTGAAAAAACCAATATCACAGCCAGACATTGCCAAACCTGTCCTGGAAGACAGAACTGTTGAGGGCTGCTGTCCCCTCAGGGGACAAACCAGCCAAGGACTGGGCCACATGAACAGCACCCCCTACAGGTTCCCTCAAGAACACCACCCAACAGCCTTGACAGAATACATGTAGGAAGAAAGTGCTGAGTTTAAACATTTTACACTTCCGCGGAAACAAATTTAGACTGCATAAGTAGTTTACTATCATCTCCTTAACTACTCCACAGCCATAGGAAAATACAAATAAAGATACAATAATTATATATAATATATAATAATTTATAAATATATTGCCACTTGAGGAAACGTAAGTTTCATAATCTTCATGTCTTCATTCAATTAGTCAATAGTAAAACTGATCAGTCAAAATGCCATATAATTTTATTTACTTTTCCTATTTAGTTTATATCAATAAGTTCTACTGTCACCAATCCCATGATAATTTTTGATCATTTTTTAGCCTTACCATTTGCCGTGGGTAACCACTCCTTTTGAATATGCTATCATCTTTTTTTTTTTTTTAAGATTTATTTGGCTTATTTGAAAGGCAGAGTGACAAAAAGAGAGAGAGAGACCCATCCACAGCTTGGCACCACAAATGTCACAATGGCTGGGGCTGGTCCAGCCTGAACCCAGGAGCTTCATCCAGGTCTCTCAGTGGGGTCAGGAGCTCAAGCACTTGTGTCATCTTCCACTGCCTTCCCAGGCACTTTAGCAGGAAACTGGATTGGAAATGGAGCAGCCAGGATTCGACTGGCACTCCAGCATGAGATGCCAGCATCACAAGAGGTGGCTTAACCCACTGTGCCACAATGACAGCTCCTTCTTTCTTTACACCATCCTTAAAAATGACAACACTCTGGTTTTTGTTCTCCTCTGGCCACTATGTCTTCTTAATTGTTCCAGGTTTCTCAGTCTGCCCACTGGCCTTACCCATACTGCCAATACTTGGGCCGGGCCACTATCATTTCTGAGCAAGTAGTTTTCCCACTTGTTGCCATGAGTCTACTCTTGTGCTCTGCCAATCTACTAACCACTCTGCAGCTAATTTACAAACATTATTCAGGTCATACAACTTGCTGCATAGGCCTTTAGATCGTTTTCTATTGCACTTGAACAACACAGCTCCCTTCCATGATCTACTAGCCCAGCAAGCTCTGGATTCTGCCAACACCTCTGAGTGTCGCTCCTGCCATTCACATGTTTCAACTTCTTGCATCAAAGAGGCCATTATATATTTTTTAACTTGCTAAAGATTAGTTGTAACAATATTTCCAGACAAGAGTGACATAAAAGCATTGATATGTGTTAAAAAAAAATAGGATAGAAGAGGATCTGGAAACAGGAGGATACTGGTACTCAGTACTCCAGTGTCTGACCAAGCCCTTCTGAGAATACATCAATATACAAAGAATGGACATTCACAAGCCAGAGGGCACTTCTGAACCTGTCTGTAACCACAGACAGTAGCAAGTCATGGATAATAATATTCTTTTTTTTTTTTTTTTTTGACAGGCAGAATGGTCAGTGAGAGAGAGAGACAGAGAGAAAGGTTTTCCTTTGCCATTGGTTCACCCTCCAATGGCCGCCGCGGCCAGTGCACTGCGGCCGGCGCACCGCGCTGATCCGATGGCAGGAGCCAGGTACTTATCCTGGTCTCCCATGGGGTGCAGGGCCCAAGTATTTGGGCCATCCTCCACTGCACTCCCTGGCCACAGCAGAGAGCTGGCCTGGAAGAGGGGCAACCGGGACAGAATCCGGCACCCCGACCAGGACTAGAACCCGGTGTGCCAGCACCGCAAGGCGGAGGATTAGCCTAGTGAGCCGCGGCGCCGGCCAATATTCTTTTGAGATAAAAATGTTGGCAGGAGTGGGGAGGAGGGGCAGATGATGGAATCATTCTGGAAAACTGTTAGCAATCGTCAATACTAAAATGCCTCTTTGCTTTCTCGACGGTCTAAGGACCCAAGGATGCTTTTTAGCCACGACCCTGCCCGCTGCACCTCGTCTCTTACAAGAGTTCTAACTCCCTTTATCCCTCTCCTTCTCTGCAAACAGAAAAACATGTTTTCAAGTCCCTTCCAATCAATATTTTTACAGGTAAAGCTTGGCCGATCCTATCAAGATGACAAAAATATGTAGCCAATGTGGGGAAACATAAAGTAAAAATGAAAGATTGCAGGTTGCGTGTGTATCAGATTGTCTGATAAAACACAAGTCAATCATTTCAGAACTGCTTGCATTTTTAGCTTCGAATTCCAGTAACTGTCCCCTTCAATAAAAGGAAAAATTTTAAAGCACCATTACTCTACTGAATGGCAAGAAAAATCTGCAAAGTTGTGAGATTAACCTTTCTCTTCATTCACAGGTTTGGTTCTATCTTTGTAGTAGCAGCAGAATCTAAAAGAAAAGGCACGGAAAGCCAATTGCAGGTTTTTAAAACGTCTGACTGTGCATGTCCCAGTTCTCTTCAGTATCTTCCAGAAGATTCAGCCCATTTTTATTTCTGCAGCACATCAGTGTTTATCATTTGTTTTACAACAGCACTGCATGTTCTCGAAAATTGACGCAGATAAATTTCACTCATCCTCTACAGAAACTCAAGAGAGACAAATGGCCTTAAAGAACAAAACCCACCACCAAGACATGGTTGATTTACTAATAGAGCATTGCTTCTTTTACCCGCTCAGCTCAATATTTACTTCATTACAGTGGTAATTCCCCCAAACCATCCTCAGAAGCCTCTGGATTTGTCAAGATTTATGACAAATTTCCAGCTTATAATTAGGCATTATGAAAATTCACTGTGGGAAAACTATTGTTAGACAAAAGCTTCTCCATTTAGTGTGCTTTAAAGGAACAGTCAAGACTTTCTCCATTTAGGAAGGCCAAGAGCAAAACCATGAATGCGCTTCGATTGCACAAACAGGTTTGCGTAAAACCTATTTCTCACATACTACTAATGCTCTAAGTAGGGGCTAATGCAACCAGACTTGGAACAAGAACCTGGCTGTCTCATCAGCAAGCTCGCTCAACCTCTTCATACCTCAGTTTCCTTATCTATAAAATGAAGATATTATCAAGTGCCACATAAGGATACTGGGAGATTAAATAAGGAAACCACTCAGTGCAGTGCCAGGCACACAGGAAATGCCCAACCACTGGAATTCAGGACTATTTGAGTAATGACACAGAGAAACAATGAAGTCAGGGAGACCCTCACTTCCCCATTTGTTGCCAACCTCAGGATTTCACCAAGAAAAAAGAGTATCCAGGCAGCCTGAAGATCTGGAAGAGAGCACAGGCACACCTGGAGACCTCCTGGCGGGTAGAGCGAGGCAAGAGCTCAGAGCCTATACCCAACCACAACCTCCTGGCACGGATGAGGGGCGCCCAAGGTGCAGCTCTTTCCTCACACATTCTATGCCTTGCTCTGGGAGTATCGACAAAGCTCTACTCCCTCACCCCTAGAGAGAGGCCAAGGCAAGGTCTGAGGCAGTCTGTTTCCAGAGAATTATTCCAAAGTGGTGAGAGCAAGACCAAGGAGGGCCTGAGGGCCTGGGATCCGGCCAGAGCGCTCCACAGAGATTCTTCCCGGCCTCGTAGCATCAAGTCACCAGGAGACAGCAGCGTGGGGCAGAAGACAATCAAGTGCACTCAAACACAGCACTCGAAAATCTCAACCCAGCACCACCTAAGCTCTCAGAATTGGCACAATCCTCACACACTTGCTCCCTATCCGCCACCCCCGGGAGACCTGTACCATGGCTGTCTTCACGTTCAGATGAGAAAGCTGAGATATACAATGGCTGTGAAACATCCCCCAAGGAGACTCTATTGCAAATCCAACCACAATACGGCACCAAATAGTCTAGTTTTAGAATCTGCAATCTTAACCGCTATCCCCTGTTTCTGTTCCCACTGGTACACCAACTACTGGAAACATAGCCTTGCTTTCTACGGCTCATAATTCAATTTTCTGCAATAATATTTCTCTAAAACTTAAATTACTGAGCTGCTATGAACCTTTAGGCAATATTAGGCCTCTTTCAATTAAGGATACAATGGGCACATTTCAAAATGTTGCAACTCAACTAGGCTGAAGTGGAGCGCACCACAGAGGTGTGGACAAAAAGCATGGAGGGCCCTGAGTTGACCAACTCCGTGTGGCTGGTGGATAGGGAATCCATATACTCCTCGCTCTGCTTTTGTTTGTGCTTGAAATTTTCCGTACCGAAGCTAAACATAAGGAAATGTCCAACTACAAAGAAGACAGCTGAAGACCTCCAGCTGCTTCCGAACGCACAGGCAAATTCAGGTTCAGCAGACAACACCTCTGTGGACAATTGCAGTCTGAGTGTTTAGATCAGAGAGTTCAGGAATGTGTTTAGCAAAAACTTTTCCTCATCCTAAAACCTCCCATCACTCCCACCCCCAGGATCTGCATCTTCTCTAACTGGAACAAGAAAACCATTCCCAGAGCTGCAGTTTCTGTTCACTCTAATTTTCTGTTGTTGCTGCTCCAGCTGTTGCTGTTGGGAGGCCTTTTGCTCCCCTCCTTCTAACAGGTCTACTGATTCACAGCTTATGACTGCTCAAGACCATCTGCAGAGTCAAACTGAAAAACATCCACCCCGATATCCTTTTCTTAGAAGATTAAAAGAAAGAAACTTACCCGTTGTGTTGTGCATTCCCTCTTGGCCAAAATATGCTGTGGTTTCGAAAACTAGCCCAGTCCTTCTGAACTTTTCTGTATCCGTTATAATATTAAAGAGCCACAAGGAAGGGAAGTGGTTAGTCAACTTGCTAATTTTATCAGTCCCTCCCACTGGTTAAATAGTACCTGATGCTACAGACGCAAAATCAGTTTTCCAGCTCATTTCCCTGCTACTGCACGACGTTCATAACGGCAGCATAACTTGGCGGCATCTAGTTTGTAGCATGAGATGCTGAAGGAATGAAGATTTTATGACTATTAATAAGCAGACTAATAGACTACAGAAACCAGAGATTCAACAAGACGAGGGGGAGGAGGAAAGGGAGTATCTCTCAGCTCCACCAAGCTCAGTGGGTTGGGTGGGAAGGGGAGTGATTTTAATGCAATCAGCGGACGAGTGGGAAGTGGCTGGTGCTTCATTTGTGGATAAATTATTCTGCCCTGGAATGGAGCCAGGTTCCCGGATATAAACACTTCCACAACTTGGAGCCCTGGCTCGGCCGATGCTGTTTCTCTGGAACTGGGTAACTGAAACCCAAGACAAAGCAGCAAGTGTACGTGCCACTGGATGAGGGAAAATTCAACATCCTCCGAAGAAGCTATGAGCTGTTTCCAAGGTGTAAAGATTGGCAATGAAAGAAAAGAAAACACAGTTTGCACCCCCATAGAAACACAAAGTGAAATATATTGTTTGAGTACTCGTTATAGCATTAAATCTCAATGTACAGCACATTAAGGATAGAGATCCTACATCCTTACTTAATGCATACTAAACTGATCCTCTGTAAAAAAAAAAAAAAAAGAAAAAAAAAAAAAGAAATTATCAATTCCCAACTTGACTCTCACTGGGATTAAACATGACAATAGGTCTGCTCTGATTTCATCATCATTTAAAAAAATCATCTATTATTTTTCACTTTATGTTTCTGTGTGGGAGCAAACTGTTGAAATCCATACTTAATGTATACTAAGCTGATCTTCTGTATATTAAGATAATCGAAAATGAATCTTGATGTGAATGGAAGGGGAGAGGGAGTGGGAAGGGGGAGGGTTGTGGGTGGGAGGGACGGTATGGGGGGGAAGCCATTGTAATCCATGAGTCGTACTTTGGAAAATTATATGCATTAAATAAAAGTTTAAAAAAAAATGATTAATCAAAAAAAAAAAAAAAGAAAGAAAGAAAAGAAAACACAGACAGATTTCAGTGAAATAAATGCTCGATGCTTCAACTGAACTCCATCGATCAAACTCTAAATGTGACACAACATGTAAAACTCTGTCACTCCAGAATCCCAGGTCATGCAATTTTCTAAGCTATGCCAAACAGTGGCATTTGAATTAAGTCTGCACCACTCACTCTGAGGTGTGTTTCCCACCATGCCTAAGGATTGTGGGGATAGAAGCAAGAAGGTCTGGAAACCAAAACACTTTGAAAAGGCTCACGAAGCCTCGCTGGTGACTAGCTGACAAACAGAAACCCTGACAGCAACCACTGACGCACACAAGGCAATGGCTTCACAAAAGTCTGATTTGGTAAACTGAGGCCGCCGAATGCAACAAGCAGTTCTGTCACTTGTCTGTGGTTAGCATCCCCACCCCCCAATTCGATACTAAGAAGATGAGGAAAACACCTGGAGGCTCATTGTCTCTCTATCTCTCTCTCTCTCTCTTTTTTTTTTTTTTTTTTTTTTTGACAGAGTGGACAGTGAGAGAGAGAGATGGAGAGAAAGGTCTTCCTTTTCCATTGGTTCACCCCCTCAGTGGCCGCTACGGCCGGCCAGCACGCTGCAGCTGGCGCACCGCGCTGATCCAAAGGCAGGAGCCAGGTGCTTCTCCTGGTCTCCCATGCAGGTGCAGGGCGCAGGCACTTGGGCCATCCTCCACTGCACTCCCAGGCCACAGCAGAGAGCTGGATTGGAAGAGGAGCAACCGGGACAGAATCCAGCGCCCCGACTGGGACTAGAACCTGGGGTGCCGGCGCTGCAGGTGGAGGATTAGCCTATTGAGCTGAGGCGCCAGCCGGCTCATTGTCAGTTATCTTCCCTGTCCAGAAGCCTGCTTTCTGCTTAGATCTAGAAAATGTACTCTGCTGAAGTGAAATGCAAGAACTGCCTTGCTGAGTTATCACCAACAGTTCCTCCCAAAGAGCAAGAAGGTCATAGTTCTGACCCCCCAGCCTTTATATGAATCTGAGTTTAAGATGAGAACAAATAAACCAACACTTCTCAACCACGGCCCTGTGACTTCAGCTCCTCTTGCCTCTGTAGCTTTTGTATCTCCAGGGAAGGAAGAGGGAAAGACAGAGTTCTAAAGGAGTAAGAAGAGAAGGACAAAGGGGAAAAGGAAATGCCCTCAGTGTGCCTTCTCTCAAACTCTTCACAGGCTCTCAGCCTCCAGGGTCAGAGGCACCTGCTCCGCACGGGGTCAGAGCCACCTGCCCCACCTGGGGTCAGAGGCACCTGCTCCGCCCGGGGTCAGAGGCACCTGCTCCGCCCGGGGTCAAAGGTACCTTCTCCGCCCGGGGTCAGAGCCACCTGCTCCACCCGGGGTCAGAGGCACCTGCCCCACCTGGGGTCAGAGCCACCTGCCCCACCTGGGGTCAGAGGCACCTGCTCCACCCGGGGTCAGAGGTACCTTCTCTGCCCGGGGTCAGAGCCACCTGCTCCACCCGGGGTCAGAGCCACCTGCTCTGCCTGGGGTCAGAGGCACCTGCTCCGTGCCTCCTCTTCTGGAAGCTTTCCTCTGTATTCACACACTCCTGCCCCTTCCTGCAATGCTGCAGCACATTTTGTCATCCTCGCCATCTACCCATAAATTAATCCCTCTCTCTGGAAGATGGTGGGCCTCTTTTAAGACCTACACATTCTCTGATGCTCACATAGAGGCATTAAGCTTTTCAAGCAAAAAGCCCCACTTAAACCCATTTATTTATTCATCTTTAATGGGAGAAACCCTGCAAAGGCTTGTCACAGTGAGGCTGAGTGCACGATCTTCTTGAGAAGCAGAGAAACAGAAAGACGCAGAGATCTTCTATACACTGGTTCACTCCCCAAATGCCAACAACAGCCAGGGCTGGACCAGCTGAAGTTAGGAACTCTATCCAGGTCTCCCATGTGGGTTCAGGGACTCAAGTACTTGAGCTACCTTCCAAAGTCTGCATTAGTAAGAAGCTAGAATCACTGTGAGAATGGAGCCAGAACTTGAACCCAAGCATTCAGACATGTGATGTTGGCACCTTAACTATGATGCAAAATGCCTGCCCTGCCTCCCCCAACTTTTGAAATAAGTGTTTCATGTAATACCTTTTTCATCAGCCTAAAATGAAACTTACAAATGACACCACCAACTCTATACAGTAAACTTCTGTAAATCAAGGAAGTGGTTCCAGGCAGGAGCATAGATCAGTCCGCTGATGCTCGCCCTACCACGTGTGAGTAAACCTGAATAGAAGGGGAGGGGCAGAGACCAGCCACATGCCAACAGTGGAAAGATCAAAAGACTAAAGGCCAGGCTGCAGCCAGGAACCAGGAACTCCATCTGGGTCTCTCACATGGGTGGCAAGGACCCAAGTCCATGGGCTATCATCTGCTGCTTTTCTAGATACATTAGCAGGAGGCTAGAACAGAAGTGGAACAGCCAGAAGTGGAACTGACACTCAGACATGGGATAGATCAGGGCTCCAATTGGCAGTTTAACCTGCTGCACCACAACACCAACCCCTGAAATCAAGGGTTGCCTTCAAAGGACTGTCAAATATTCTTCAGACTATGCAAAATTTGTCTCGAGGTTGAAAATCTTCTGCCCCTGCTATTAACTGCTTGATCAAAATGCTTTGTACCAACACTAACTGGTCAAGAAAAATACTTTGAAAAACATTAACAAAATATGTAATAACAGGGCTGGCGCCATGGCTCACTAGGTTAATCCTCCACCTGCGGCATCCCATATGGGCAGCGGTTCTAGTCCCGGTTGCTCCTCTTCCAGTCCAGCTCTCTGCTGTGGCCCGGGAAGGCAGTGGAGAATGGCCCAAGTGCTTGGGCCCTTCACCCCCATGGGAGACCAGGAAAAAACACCTGGCTCCTGGCTTCAGATCGGCGCAGCGCCAGCTGTAGCAGCCATTTGGGGAGTGAACCAATGAAAAGAAGACCTTTCTCTCTCTCTCTCTCATTGTCTGTAAATCTACCTGTCAAATAAATTAAAAAAAAAAAGTAATAACAAAGATATGGTATTCAATATGACCAATAACTGTGATCTTAAAAAAAAACTGCTTATAAATTACATAAAATTAGCTCTCAAGGACCTGCCAATGTGTTTTCAGGGATTTTTCATTCAAATATCATTCTTTTCACTTTCCTTTTTATTTATTTATTTATTTATTTATTTGACAGGCAGAGTGGACAGTGAGAGACAGAGAGAAAGGTCTTCCTTTTGCCGTTGGTTCACCCTCCAATGGCCGCTGCGGCCGGTGCACCGCGCTGATCCGAGGCAGGAGCCAGGTGCTTCTCCTGGTCTCCCATGGGGTGCAGGGCCCAAGCACCTGGGCCATCCTCCACTGCACTCCCTGGCCACAGCAGAGAGCTGGCCTGGAAGAGGGGCAACCGGGACAGAATCCGGCGCCCCGACCCGGACTAGACCCCGGTGTGCCGGCGGCCCCAAGGCGGAGAATTAGCCTATTGAGCCACGGCGCCGGCTTTATTTTTTGACATAGTCTAAGTTTTCTAAAATTATTTCACAATGTTGTACTACAACAAATAAGCAATGGCAAGCTTATGTTAGTTTATAAACTTCAGGGAAGTTAGCTACGGAGCACTCTTTGGTTATCTTCACGTTTGGGCGACAGTTAAAATGGACAAGAAAACTATATTCCTTCCAGACTATCAATTCTGCTCCATCTCAACCATTGGCTGAAGACCAGATGTAAAAGTCACAAATCACAAGAGGTATGTGTGCCCACATAACAGGATTTCTTGCCTTGGATTCCGGAGGAAGGTCAGTATTTTATCTCCTTCATTAGACAGCCAGAGCCCACACAAAGTCTCAGAGCAAGGTACAGTAAACACTCAAATAATTGTGCATCAATGAAAAAAGACCTAGGGTTTTAAAAGTAGTATAAATAATAATAAATTTCCCTATGAGCTAAAGAATAATAATAATAAAGTTAGCCTTTCAAATTAAGGTGCTTTAGTAATTTAATTACCTTTTTCCTATTTACAAAATTAATATTAGAAGCTGAGTCATGTTTGAATTCCATAAAATTATTTTATTAACTTCCTGTAAGGCTTGAAAATACTTTATAAAATCTCTCTTCTTATAATCCAGCCTTAACCTTCATTCTAATGAAGACTCAAATCGTATTTTCTTCTTATAAAAGAGCCTTTTTCCCCAAATAGAAATATTCAATTAGAAATGTTTCAAAGCCAGCTGCTGTGGGTACCAAACATATATATCCTGAAAAACAAGCTTTCATCTTTAAAAAATTGCACAAGTAGCAGTAAGACCACTTTCAACACATCTAACCCACCAAAAACTCTGTAATTACTACTGATTCAGAACAACATATCCCTAGAACGTATGGAAAGGAACTTTTAGAACCCTAGTAATGGGTGTGCAAGTGAAGAT